AAGAGCCAAGGGTCAGAAGTCGGGCAGGAGAGCAGCTCCCACCAATGAGTAGTGTTGGGGGGGGCACACAGCACTGGGGACTATCCTGAGGCCTTGATGATGGGGATGTGGGCATCTTCTCCTCACCTAGCCAGGGCCATGCCAGGCAGACCAGCTATGACTGGACCCAGGGTCTGGGGGAGCTACCGTCCAGAAACTAACACGGAACATTTCCTCCACATGAATCTGGTCAAATGTTCCAGACACTGAGATGTGAAGTGCAGCTTGTCATTCCAGAATTCTTATAACTCAGCTGTCTGATGCTATTTACGGAACACACACACACACACACACACACACACACACACACACGGTCCCTAAGCATTGTAATCTTCGCACCAACAGAGAAGTGCTGAGTTCAGTAAAGTAGGTCTAAGCACAGATGGAGGTGACAGATGACCCACAGCTTTGTGGCAGCAACATGAAGAGATTCCCAAAGATGCCAAGGTGTCCTGAAGACCTGGGCAGGAAGGACTGAATGGTGCACGTACAAGACCTCTCTCTCTCTCTCTCTCTCTCTCTCTCTCTCTCTCTCTCTCTCCCTCCCTCCCTCCCTCACTCACACACACACACACACACACACACACACACACACACACACACACCAGAATAAAGAGTTTTTTGAATGACAGCTTGCACCTGGGAATGGCTTCATAAGCTGTTCAAGGGCTCATGACTAGTCCAGGGAGTGGTTTCTAGTCTAGGATGGTTATTCCTGCTGCCTGTCTGCAGGAACTCCGTTTCAGATGGCCTCACTGGCACAACTCCCCACTTCATCTGCTCACCTATCACTGCCTTTTCTGCCAGGCTGAAGCAGGCCTCGGGTGTTGAGCACACACACCGCCGGGCTACGCGGCCGCTCCGATGGAGTGAGATAAACTACCCAAGCCAAAGCTAGCAAAAGGGAGAGCAGGAACCTCAGCTTATTTTCATCCCAGCCCTAAGTCACGGCAGCGGCCTCCTTCCCAGCACATCCACTCAGAGGGCATTTGAAGTTCTGTGCTAATATTGGCGTCATAACATCCACGCTAACAGGGTGGCCAGCTAGCTAGCTATATAGCCCGAATTTCAATACCGCAAATTCTGACCACATTGTGACCACTCTCAAGCTTTGAGCCACGGGTGCTGCTACACAGTAAACTTACTTCAGGTATGCTATTCCTTGATTGGAGATTTTCAGACCAATCGTTTTCACTCCTTAATGAGACCAAAGCAGCCCTCAGCTCAGTCTTGCTGAATTGCACACCATCAATTGGAGTCCTCCATGCCTCTCCCATGCCCCCTTTTGTCAAAAGGAGAATGGTAAAGCAATTTTGGGACCAAGAATCTACAGTCTACCGCAGTAAGCGTGTACAAATCAGCTGTCCCAAATTCTCGGTTGTGTCCAAACCTTGAAAGGCTGTTCTGAAATACCATGTAAACATGGCGTCCAATACTCTAGGACAGAGAGCCTCTCCCACTCAACACCTGTTTTAAGTTACCTGAGTTGAACGCCCTGGGCTCTGATGACTAGGCACGGTTTTTTTATTTCACTTCCTGGCAATAGGATCCGTCTTAGTGAGTGTCACTATTGCTGTGGTGACATGACTGTGATCACAGCAAGTTTGGGGCTACACCCTGAATCACCGTCACAGTCCACTGAGGGAAACCAAGCAGCAGTAACTGAAATCCAGCAGGAACCCGGAGCTGATCAGAGGGTGCTGCTTGCTGGCTTACCCAGCCTGCTTTCTTACAGAACCCAGGACCACCAGCCCAGAGATGACATCACCCACCACGGGCTGGGTCCTCCCACACCAATGACTAACTTCAATTCCCCACAGGCTTGCCTACAGCCTGACCTTATGGAGGCATCTTCTCAACTGAGGATCCCTCAAGTTAAACCAGACATGAAACTTCCCAAAACTTTTAATTCCCCTACACTGGCCTATTTCAATACGGAATAATTTTATCATACCCCACCAACTCCAGCATTAATAATATCCAAACTAATGAATACCACATAATAAAAATGAAACAACAGTATGAACTTATGGGGATTGTAGGTAAAATCATGTCTCAAACCTTGATTTCCTAATAACTTGACTTTTATGCCATTTCGTTTTGCAAAACCTAAGATAAAAGATAAAACACTGCCACGCCACCCACCTGTAGACACACTCAATGGAGTGACATACAAAAAGTATGGCTATAACATAGACATTGTCAGGTGCAAAGGAAAACTCCACTCCCCCAAATCTGGGTATTTAGACAGAAGCCACCATTCCTCAGGAAGGGTAAGTGGCTATCTGTACCTATTAGCACATCAACGTGCTTGCTGGACAGCCCTGTGTCCCAGGAGTCCACGCTGCACCCTGGCCCCTTAGCCCTGCCCCCCCTTACCCTGCACGTCTCCGCCATGGAGGCATTGCTGTCAGCCCTGCCCTCTCCGGCCCTCTGTTATCTTCCTGGTTTGTCTCCTGGCCCTCTTCCGTCTCCTTCCTCCCCCCTGCCCCTCCCACCCCCCCACCCCCACCCCCACCCCCGCTCTGGACTCTTCCGATGTCTGCTTGTTCTGACTCGCATACACAGAACACCCTAACAGCCATATCCTTAGTTGATACACACATACAGCATTTGGGGGGGGGGGAGTAGGGGGGCTGTCAACTGTCCCGACCTGTCCCTAAAGATACTCAGGAAAGAAGTAAAGAGCTAGTGTCCACAGTGGGATAAACATCTGTGTGGGGAAGTCCCACACCCAACAGACCTGTGTCAGTGTCAGGAACTGGCTCTACCAGGTTTCAGGATGTGGCCGAGACCCCTTCAGCTCCAACCTTGGCAGCAAGAGGAAACATGCCAAACACTTCAAGGGCATTACTAGTTGAGTAAGGGACGCACTTAGGTGACGACCCATGACTTCTGCACTATCTTACTGGCGATTACATGCAGTATGAACTAAAACCCTGAAATAACGGACTCTGGTTAAGTCGGAAGGGCTTCAAGTATACCTTCGATAATACCCGGCCCCTAAAAGGTCCTGAGCAAATAGGAAAAATAAAGTTAAAGCTGAGGAAAAACTTGCAAAAACAAAAAAAGCAAATGAGGAAGCAAACAACTGAAAAGCACCCAGCAGACGCCTAACTTCCTCTCTACTGCCACCTAGTGCGCTCTTCCGGACAGACAGAACCCTGCATTTCCTCCTACCTACGTGTACCTCCCCCACTCACCTTGAGATGCAAAGTTCATGGACACGAGTTTTGGCGTGTTATAAATCCCCTGCTCCCACCTTTAAGCATATTCATCAATGAGGTAAGAACTTACCTCCTGGAAACTTCCATCCTGCTACCTTCCTCCGTAAAAGGAACCATCTCAGCCAGTTTAAAACTTGAGCTGTTTAAATCTGAATGATTAGTGGGAAGGTAGTACACACAAAGGACACTCCCACCTTTTGTGGGTTCTGGAGGCCAGGCTCAGAGTAGCAGGTTTGCTCACCAGGTTTGTGTCCCCAGCCCCACACTGAGGCTTCCATTGAGGCATTCCCTCACTAGGAAACAAGATTTGCTAAGAAACTGTGACTTGGAAGCCCTTCCCCCTCCCCCCCACCCAAGACAATTTCCTGGAGACCCAAATGGATTTTTTTTTCCTTCAGAGGAATGAGAATTCACTTCAGAGAACATGACTTTAAGTTTCGTTAGCTCTGACTTACGACAAAAAATGCCCCAAGCCCCAAATACTTGGCAAAAAAAAAAAAAAAAAAAAAAAAAAGGGGGGGGGGGGGGAGGAAGCAAAAACCCTTTTGACTTCTTTCAAATGAACTGTTCAGCTCTCGCCTTTAATCCCAGCACTAGGGAGCTCTTTGAAGTCTCCGAGGAGACAGTCTAAGATTGAGGCTTGGTGGAGTCTGAGTGCAGTGCAGTCTGAGGTTCCGTGGGCCACCGCTTTGGTCTGAGCACTGGTAGAGACTGCAACTCTCTAGTGGCTGGCTGCTTTGCTTCTCTGTCTGCAGCCTGGACCTCAGATCTGCCCTGGGTTTTTATTATCCGTACGACAAGTAAACTGGTACGTAAGAAATTCTATAAAAAGTTGTCATAGAGTATAACAATACATAAAAATAAGCCATTATAATCTGAGAAATTCAAGACAACTAAATAAATACTCAGAACACTTCACTCTTTCATAAAATACACAGACTTATAACATCCTTCGCTGGGCATTAAGCAACTCAACCTGAATTCTTTCCAAAAGAATTAAACTTTTATAGAACCAACACCTGGGTTTGAGAACATAAATTCACCTGTAATAAACTATATACTCAGTTTTCTGATTCTAAAGTTGTTTATCTCAGTATGAGTAATTTAAATTAAGATGTAAGACTAAAGTTCAGAGAAGCATGTGTGCGCACGCGCACACACACAATCTTTCAAAATGCAACTGTTTCACATGGTTAACAGACTAATTTGCAAAACATGAATAAATAAAAAGTTTTGATTTTAAAAAACTAAATCCTCCGGCCAGGCAGTGGTGATGCATATCTCTAATTCCAGCACTCAGGAGGCAGAGGCAGGTGAATCTCTGAGTTCAAGGCCAGCCTGGTCTAGAGTGAGTTCCAGGACAGGCTCCAAAGCTACCAAAAAAAAAAAAAAAAAAAAAAAAAATCAGTCTCAAAAAAGGAACCATGGTAAGAATGGAGTCAACTGAACAATGTATAGTCAGCCAGGCGGCATACACGAAAGTCATTAGAACTACACTTCCTAAAACCAATCATGGTCTTCCACAATAGCTACCTTAGCTTGAAATTGTTTCTTACACCGAAAACCTTTAAGTTGCAAATAATGAATTACTGGGAGAAGTTTCACACAAGATAACAGTATGCATTATAAAGTCCCATTTCTGAAGAATAGAATTTCTGACTCACTCCCTCCTCAACCCACCTCTGCCCCGCCCTGACCCGCCCTGACCCAATGACATGGCAGACACAAACAAGATCCGAGCAAGAATCTGTTAACAGTTTTATTTTTATGTTAAATACCATGGGACAGGATCGTCAGGATGAAAAACTCAGTCAACAAACTGCCTCACAAGGGATAAGAAAAATTCTGCCATGATATTAGCAAAGGTAAAGGAGAAAATTTACACAGTAAGAGGCACCATTTCCCCACAGAAAACCTCTTGCATTTCCTGAATGAGTGAGATTAGCAATCTAAATAAATCATATTTCAAGAGGTAACAGCAACAGATAAAATTTAAAGGGATTATTAAAATAACATTTACAAGACTGAACAATTCTTGAACTCTTATTAAAACCACAAAGAAAGAACAATTCTTTATTTATGAATTTCATAAAGGACTGAATGTGCAACTGACATCTGCTAGTGATGATCTGATAATGTACAATTTGTCCAGTAGCCGAACAGTTTGTTTTATTGTGTTTTCTAACCGTAAGAGATCATTAAAGGCAAAGCCTATATGACGCTGTACACACAAAAAATGGTCACCGCGGGCCATACTACCAATGAAATGGTAGGTAAACAAATCTTTTTCTGGTCGAGAGAAAAAAAAAAGAAATAGCACTCTGCATGCTTCACTCTACAAGATGAATTTCCCTAGAAAGAATCCAATGAAAATGGCTGCGATCACAACCAGAAGAGAGGGAAGAGGGGTGGCGACGTTATCCCTGAAGGACGCAGCTGAGCTGGACCCCGCTTTATCCGCATGTGCTACCTTTCTAAGTCTTAAGCCTTCATCCTGGGGGAAAGACACAAAAGAGACTTTAAACAGAGGCACATGCAGGTGGGTGTCAGAGCCAAAGTTCCCGCAGGCAGAGAGGAGACCTGCAGCTGTGTGTGGCTAGAAACAGAAGCAAGAATTAACTGCTACCTGCCTTGGGGACCTGTGGACCTGTGACAAAGTCTACAACTGGATTAAAGTGACAGATGAATAACAATCGCAATCAGTGCACTCACGTGATGTAAACTACACCTCAGTAGCACTGACTTTTAAAGCAGAAGCTGGAGTGTATTCCTGTAAAACCATGTAAGCTTACTCCCAATAAGTAAACTGGCTACAGGCGTCAGCCAAAGACTACCAACAGCACACTACACTCGGCAGGACCACGACTCAACACAGCGTGGAACCACGTGGCAGACACGCAAGGACTCACTTATTCTGTGGTGGACACTCTATTCGACAGCATGGCGGGGCTCAGGGAGCTCTTAGCCTGAAGACTGCTCTTCCTCAGTGTCTTTCTTACTCCACCCATGTCAAAGAATGAGCGGCTCCCTTGTTATTGAAAGGGTGGCACCAGCCGAGCCCAAGGGAAGCCTCTAACAGTCATTCTTTGTACCTCGCTCTGGCTGGCTCATTTCGAGCAGGGGACTTACCCTCAGGTGCCGGTTCTCTTCTGACAGCTTCATCATCTCTCCCTGAAGTCTCTTACACTCTTCCATCAGTTTCCTTGTTTCCGTGTCATTAAGAGAAACACTATGCGGTTTTGGCAGGGGTCCGTCTTGTTTGGATGCATTCAGTGGAACAGCTTTGCTAGGTTCCATATCATTCTGCATTTCAAAGACATTGGGAATCTTTAACTAAAAACACTGATGGATCTTAACTAAGAAAAATCTAAACTCTACATCTTTTCTAAAAATGCCCTAAAAAGGTGACAAGTTTCAACTAATTACTAGTATCAAATATGGTCATCTGTAGACAATTTTCAATGGAGTATGTCACTAACTACCAGCAGCCTATTTCCTCTACCCCGGTACTCTTGGTACTTACCTTAACACAGCACTTAAACAGTATCATAATAATTGACTTTTTACATTCTTTCATCCATAATCCCAAAAACTAGGAGAAAAGCCATTTCTCTGTGTTCTTCACCCCTACACACGCTCTGATCAAGAATAGTCAGTCTAGGAAAATACACTGAATGACTAACTCCAGGCAATTTTCAATGGAATCAAATGAGATTTTAGGAATTGGAAGGTACAGAACAGCCTCAGTTTGCAGCTGCCTAAGAACATATAGCCAAAACCAACTAATGCATATTAATGGGATAAAGGAACTAAAAGATACAAATACTGAATAAAACAGTAAGCAAGCAAGATCACTGCAGTGGGTGGAGGAAACTGTGGTCTTAAGCACAAATGAGCCTTCAAATTGTAAGACTGTCCAATTAGTGTTATTCATTGTGGTGCACTATTTAAGAAGTAACAAGACACCTTTCAAAACTGCAAGGTCTAAATTAATCCTCTAACACTGTTTCTAAGCCTGTGACCCAAACTCTTTCCTTCATCCCAATGTAATTTATGCCACTATGTGTAGCATCAATATAAAGTCACCTTTTTCGTTTCAGACTTTTAACTGTTAAACATTTTTAGAAGGCATAGGAGGTTAAGTCAGTAATAGTGCATTTGATTGCAAGCAGGAGACCCTGGGTATGCTACTGACAGCAGTAACTAAATATTAAAGGCAAGCTTTATCCAGATAGAAACTGCTAATCAAGGCATTTACCAATTTAAAGTTCACAATATCACATAGCAGCCATTTGTACCAAGATCAGACCATTGGCATAACCATTCTGGCTGCCAATGGGACTGCAATGGTTAATACTGTCAACTAGACAGGTCTAGAATCACCTAGGGCTGTAAAACCTCTGAGGTGCCTGGAAACTCTGTATACTGGGTCAAGCGAGGTGGGCTGGGTCCTCAACAGGAAGAAAAGGAAAGAGAGATGAGTACCAGGATTCCCTGCTGACTCCTGCCGGAAGATGCCAGTGATAGACTGCACTGTTCCTCAAACCCTAAGCCAACAATCAAGTCTTCTTCCTGAAGCTGCCAGTGCCAGTACTTGGTGATGGCAACAAAGGGTTCTAATGCACAACCCTGGCTATCCGAACTGCCAGCAGATTTGAACCTCTTTCAAATCTGAAGAGACACTTAAAATGACCTCTGATCTCTGCTTCTCTTGATGACTCTGTTCATTACCACAATCTCTCCAATGCCCAACCAAGCCCATCTCTAGTATTAAAAAAAAAAACAAAAAAAACGTACCTGATATATTTTTGCTAAACTATTCTATTTTCTTGACAATTAAAATTCACTTCAAACTGAGTTTTAACACACCATCCTGCACAATCCAACCTGAATTTCAAAAAGCAAAACATGGAGCCTCCCTCTGTAAAGCAGGCAATATTCAACAACAGACAGACAGAGCCCTCAAGTGTTGCTTAAGAATGAAGACAGAGCTGGGCAGAGCATTTGCCTCACACACATAAGATCATAGGCTCAACCCCCAATACTAGAGCAAAAAATGGAGAAGTAAATCATACTGTTGACTACAGAACGGTATATATGACGCTAATACGGGAGAGAGGGAATTCTAATGACCTTAAAATAAAAAATGTACTGAAGTCACTAAAGCCTTGTATGTGGAGTACATGCTCACCTTTGATCCCAGCAGACAGGACCATAAAATAAGCCAAATAAAACAACTCAACTGGCTGTGACTCTTACCAACCAACAGCAACCCTGCCTTAACACCTCAGGTGAGCAAGCATAAGCTGAAGCGTCAAGACTGTCATGCACTCACCACTATGTTGGGTTATAGTCTTTGCTGTCGCACTAGACCCATGAAGATTCCCACTTTAATAACTCTGTAGGGCTATTAAGAGGAGCTAGGGACTAAATACAGAAAGCAAAGCTGAAATTACGGCAGAACAAACATTTGCAACGAGCTCTGTGAAGAGGAACTAAAGGACATTTTCATATCGCTGTGTTGAGTAAAGGGTGTCAATACATAAAGATGGTGTACAGCCAAATTAGGCTATGTTGTCATAAGTAAAGTTTTAATCTGTGAATTGAAGTATCTGAAAAACAACGCCCTCTGAATGTTTTTTCTTCCTACTCTAACAGCAAATGTATGGTTTCTCTGTGCCCATTATCACAAAAAAAAAAATAATAATAATTCCAAATGTAAGGCCAAACAGTATTAGACATTTAGATAAAGGTTTGTTTGTTTACACAGGTCTCACCATGCAGCCCTAGCTAGCCTGGAATTAGCCATATAGACCAGATCGGCCCTGAACTCAAAAGAGCCCTCTTGCATGCCTCTGCCTCCCTAGTGCTAGGATTAAAGGCATACATCAACCGCACCAATACCCTCAGCTAATAAAAGGTATGGTGGTTAATGAATAAAGCCCTGTTGGCCAATAGGAAAGAAAGATAAGCGGGACTAGGAGACAAGGAGGATTCGGGGAGAGGTAGGAGGGGTCAACATGTAGGACCAAGAGAACAGAGATCTAGATCCTCTCTCCGGTAAGATGAGACCACATGGAAACACTTAGATTGATAGAAATGGGTTAATATTTAGGACAGAGCTAGCCGATAAGAAACACTAGTAGCAGGCCAACAGCTTTATATCTAATACAGCGTCTCTGTGTTATTTGGGGCCGACGTGGCTGTAGGACCAGGCTGATGGCAAAACTACTCGTTAACAAAGGTATCTGTAAATAAAGCCTTATTGGGGGCTAGAGATGGTCCGAAGGTTAAACACTGGCTATTCTTCCAGAAGACCTCGATCTGATTCCTGGCACCAACACGGTGGCTCACAACCATCTGTGACTCTGGTTCCAGGAGACCTGATGCCCCCTCCTGACCTCCACTGGCACAAGGCACATGTGGTGCACATAGCACAACAGGTAGGCAAAACACCCACACATATGAAATGAAATTTAAGAGCTCCTCTTCTAAGCCAAATCAGAGTACAAGAATGTACAGCATTTAACTATTAGTCTTAACATTTCTGAACTTTCCAGTAAGTAATAAATGCTAAAAGAATTACACAGAACCCATTCTACCAACAGACTCAGTCGCCCCAACCTATCAGCACTCAAGCATATTCATGCAAAGTTAAATTATGGCCTTGTTTTTAGTCAGGATTTTTTTAAGTCCAAGGGCACTGCAGGTAAATAAAGGTTGCTATTCTTGTATTTTCCTTTTCTGCAAACACAAACGCTTGTTGGAAAGCAGTGTTTGTTTGGCGGTCCGGCCCTCACTGTTTACTATGTATCTGCCAGGCTAATTCAAACAAGCTACACATTCAATTTTTCAGCATATGCTCCCAAATCATATTCAAGGAAAAACTATACCGACTCAGCAGTGTTCACTCTACTGACCACTGCTTCAGAGAAGAGCTGTCCCTGTGCAAATACTGGGGATGGCAATGCTCAGTCCTGGGCTGCCCGTGTGCAGGAAGCCCTGGGCTCTACCCCGCACATAGCCACGGGTAGTCAGCCGCTCACACCTGAAATCTCAGCACTTCTAAGTGGAGGCGGGAGGGTAAAAAGGCTTTGTAAAATGCTAACTGCTAATACACTCCACGTTCCTTGTCTGCTTAGGTGAGGTATCTACATGAACTTACTAACACTAGGACACTGCTACTTCTGTTAGCTCCTATGACAAACCTGCTTCAGCTCTTTTAGCTCCCTGGGGTCACTCTTCACGTGATAACTGGCAGGAGTGGCAACTGTGTTGCTGATACTGCTGATGGAGGTGGCAGCTGAAGCAATCCCTGCTGGAGCTTTACCCTGAGGCAGCATGGGAAAAATATTCTCAGAGTCACACAAACTCATTTCTCCTGTACACACGGGGAATGACTAACACAAATAGCTTTAGCCTGTAAAACATTAACATCTTAGTCCATAAAAATAATGCAGCAGAAACAGAACATCAAAGAAGAAAAAAAAAAACCCTCTAACTTTTCATATTATTTATCACATAAAACTAGGTGTGGCCTTTTGTATACCTTCACTTAAAGTATATACTTTAAAAAACTCATACTTGTCATTATCTGAAAAATATCCAGTTTTGTGTTCTCTTACCTTTGATAACAATTAACGTGAAATTTTCCCTCTTGAAAGCTAAAAACTGCTAACGTAAGCCTCTCATATTCAGGGACCCCATTACCTCCCAAATATACACCAGGACAATAAAAAGCCCAAAGATGATATAACACTCTGATTAACCTATCGTAACTCCAGTTTTCTACTTACCTTTCGAATTCTCTTAATGTAGTTAAAAAATAGAAACTCAAAAAGGTTGGCAGGAGATAATATTTATTAGGCATCCAATCTATTCTGTTCCACAAAAAAAAGCATGTATTCTGAAATATAAAATGCCTTTAAAAAAAAAACTCCTCAACTCCTACTCCGTTCAGCCCCCTTATTGTCATTAATGCCAATGTTTTTGCTGAAAGTATTTTACTATTAGATATTATGTAGAGAGCAATAACACTAAATATATACACTTAATTAATCAGGAAAAATATCAAGTAGAGTTAAGGCTTCAAATGTTTTTCAAATTCAAATTCAGACTGAATAGTTTATAAAAGTTCAATAACAACATAGCCTCATTCCGTCCTCAGAAACTCTCCCAATAACTGAGTCAAGGGTGGTGGCTACTGATTCTGGCAATTAGTTCACAAAGTACACACACAGATAAAAGATGTGTGGAAGTCTGTACAGGTTCCTCCAGCTTCATACAGTAAACAAGGATAATACAAATTCCAAGTGCCACCTGAACTGAACTGTAGCCGTCACCAACAACTTAAATTACAAAGCTAAACCACACTTTGCTTAAGTTAATTAATCACATAAACCAGCCGCAAGGTGTACCACCTTTGTGGTACAGTGCTGCAGGGCCAGAGTTCTATTTCCAGCCCCACTTAGTAAATATAAACAAGTCAACTTACTCTGTCACAAGAATAATTTCAAACTGAAACTATCAGATTCTATACTATGCATTCTAATAAATATACACTACCACCATACTTTTTCGTAATGTTTTTGTTGATGCTGCACATTTGGAAACATCCTTAGTTTGTGCAAGACATGATTAACAAAACCATACCTGAAGCAGCAAACTTACAAAACTGCATCGAGGCATCAGTTTATCCAGTAATGCCTAAACTTCCAATAACACAAATTTCATAATAAAACTAAGATACACATACACAAAGGGGTAGATAATTTTAGCAAAAAGCTAAAAAGAAGCTAACATCAAAATACTGACTGACTTTTAGCACCTTCATCAACTTCCCCTGTACATAACACTAACGTGAACATTGTTAAGAACCTCATTACCACACAGTAATATGGACAGGGTGTTTTGTGTGTACTTCCATATAGCTTTAAAAAAAAAAAAAGTTTAAATACCAAGAAACTTTCCATTTTATTCTACCACCAAGACTTTAGATCAAGCGATCTGTTTCACATTTTCCATAAAGGATGACACACACCATTAAACTGAACACCTGACAGAGGACATAGCTCTAATCTAATGAACTGCTCCCCTCACAGACCACACCTTTCGTGTAGAATCTGCAGTAAGTGGCAACAGCAGAATGAGCTTGGAGAGCCATCTTTCCAAAACTATTTTTAAGAACACTTCCAGAAATTACTGTCCTAGTAGCTGAGATTACAGGCCAGCTGGGATCTAACCCAGGGCTTCTGTTATGCTAACCCTGACACCTATCCACTAAGCTACGTCCCTATCCCTACCATGTCTCATCTTATATGTGAATCTTGAAATGGGAATTCTAAACATGTAAATTAAAAAAAAAAAAAAAAAACACCCATGAATATCATAAGAGCTCTCTCCTAAAAGACAGAAAGGCTGCCACAGGTTTGAGGGCAGCCTACGCAGAGTGAGTTCCTGGCCATCCAGGGACAGAGACCCCGGCTACGCCCAAGGCTAAGAAGAACCATGACAGTTACAAACCGTTTCTATAGTGATGTCAAAACAATAAATACTTCAGGAGTCTAAGTCTAAATAAGGGTCTGCTACACTGTAGTAACACCTGTCTTAAAGTCATTGTCAATCTAGTGGCAGACTGTCATTCTGACCCAAAGGACCCAGAGGTTTTGTTTGGTTTAGTTTTATTAGGCATGGTCTGTAGCACAGGCTGACCGGGAACTCATAGCAATCCTCCTGCTTCCGCTTCCAAAGAACTGGCATTACAGACATGAGCAGCCAATGTCATACTTCCAAAGTTTAAGGGATGGTTCTAAGTCTGGGCTGGGAAAATCTTGGTCACATCGCATCAGAAAAGGTCCCTAATGGGCGGGAGAGAAGTCTCAAAAGTTAAAAACACTGGTTGCCCTTCCAGAGGACCCTGAGTAGCCCAGAGTAGATTCCCAGCACTCCACAGTAGCTCACAACCACCTGTACTCTAGATCCAGGGGACTAAATGCCCCTTCTGTCTGGACCCTGCGAATACCCCAGAACGCACAAAGTGCTGATAAACATGAGGGCACACACTTAGAACAATAAAAAGAAGGAAGGTCCTGCATCAGTAGTGACAAAAGACTGTAACTGGTCAGAACACTGACAGTATGTGCCTGCCAAATGCTAATCCCTACAGGACAGACAGGGTCCTCTCCACAGCCCTAGGGAAAACACACAGGAAAGAAGAGTTAATTCTGCAAAGGGAGGTGCAGAGTAAAGCCCTGACATCTCCACAGGACACAAATGTGGCACTCTTCACTGGGGCTACCTACACAGGGGATCCACAAGACTGGACCTGCCAAACATAGTCACCCAGGGCTGACACTCAGTTAACTCAACAAGAGTGTGGCCGCACAAACCCATCGTGTGGGGACTATAGCGGAGTCTCGGGGGTAAAAACAGTTGCTGCTCCTCCATGGACTCAGCTCCCAGCATCAAGTGGTCTACAACTACTTATAACTCTAGCTCTAGGGTATCCAACACCCTGTTCTGCCTTCTACACATCAGGTACCCACAGCACACGGCAAAGACACACACAAGCACACAAACACACGCACAAATAATTAAAAGTCTTACCAAAAAAAAAAAAACCTAGCATGCAGCAAAGTCTATAATATAAGCAAACCTAGTTCATTTATTACTTCTGGAAGAGCAAAGCAAAAAGGAAATCACTAAATTAAAGAAATAAATCATCTGTGTTACTTGGATTTCCTTTTTATCTCAATTCAACAAACTACAAAAAAAGGTATTTTAATGGCATTTGATAGACAAATCTGAATGCTGCTTAGATAGCTTAATGAATGTGACTACATTAAAACTTAAAGGCATAACAACATCAAAACATTAGAATCCTTCAGTGGGTCTGTCTTTAAGTCCCTAGAGAAATGCACATGTTAATAAATGAAATCAAATGTCTAGGATGAGTCTTAAGATTATACAGAAAGCCAGGTACGGCGGCAACCTTTTGATGACAGCACTGGGAAGCTGGGATAAGGGAAATAACAAATTCTCTGGGCTACAAAGATAACAAGCAAAATCAAGGGATTTATGATCTAATCATGTAATTACTGTATACTCCTCTCGTCAATGTGTGTCTTATTTTGTGGCTCTATAGCAGGCGCTTCAATACACAACAAATACAAACAGTCCAAATGATAGGAAGACACTCTGCCACTAATTACGGAGGCTCGGGATCTGATCGTGGCAGAGAAACCGGGAAAAGGAACTCATCTGGTATCTGACCAAGGAAGGGGTAAGTGTCCCAGGGCTCTCCCACAGCTGTGGGCTGGCTTCTCTGGGTGCCTCTGGCCTGCTCTCCCTCGCGGTCTGGAGGACAGGCTCCACTGCCCACCCGTTTCTTGCTGACTTTAAGCAGAACCTCTTGAATCACATCAGTCCCTACACTCTAACTTCCTCAGACTTAATTTGTGCAATACCCATAGTATAATGGAAGCCCAATGAAAGATAAGCAGCTCTGTGTTTAATAAACTATTAAAAGATAATGGTTTTTAAAAAGCCTTAAGTGAAATACTATCCAAATGTAATTTCAAAGTAATGTCAATCCAGATAAACTTATTACTTTTTGCTGTTGTTAAATAAATGTTGACATTTTGGAGCCAACACAAAAGGAAAGGGAAACTAATATGGAAAGTATGCACACCACATTCTTCGCTCTTGGCAGTTAGAACTCAGATTCACATGCTGAGAACTCAGTGAGTGAGTTATTTGCCCAATACCTAACAAACAAGAGCATCTTCACTCCGGCTTCCAGAAATGGTTTACTTTTGGACAGAGCAAACAAGAGTCATGTCAGACTACAAACCTTATTATTCAACACACATGGAAACAATCCCTCTAAAACCCACAGGAAAAACCTCAAACTCGCAGGGCTGGAGAGAGATGGCCCAATGGTTAAGAGTACTGGCTGCAGCTCTTCCGGGGGGGGGGGGTCCATCCCCAGCACCCACCCACATGGCAGCTCACAGCTGGCTGGAACGCCTATTCCAGGGGATCCCACACCATCTTCTGGTCTGAGGGCACTGGCACGCAAGTGGTACACAGACATACATGAAGACAAGCAAAGCAACCCACTCATACAATAAAACTCTTAAACACACCAAAAAGAAGACACCCTACAGACCACAGGTCACTGGTCTGCTTTTACTAAACCCATCTATCCCAATGTTCACAAGTATAACTTAATGCTAACCAATAAACCAACCATTTACTAAAAAATAAAACTGATTTTGATCAAAAAAAAAAACCAAACACTCAAAATATTTGGCAAAGGCTAAATTGGAAAAAAAAAAGCTTATTTATTCCTATAAATTATATTTTATCTCAAGAATGTTGATACAGTCACTCAAAAAGAGGTTCTAACCGAACTTTTCTAATTATATTTATGTATGCCTATCTTATTCTAAAAAAAAATAAGATTTGAGAGCATTCACAGAATTTCTTCCCACTTTGAAATTTGAATCAAACATCTGGTAGTTCTTACTTACCAGTTTATCATTTTCATTCGGCATTTCAAATACACATCTCAATTTAGAATCCATTAATTCATCAGGTTTTGCCTCTTTCCACTTAAAATAAACAAAAACAATCATGAGATGAGAGAGGGTTGTGGCAAACTTTTTACCTGAAGGGACAGCTGAAGGCTGAGCATGGAGCTCAGGGACTGTTAAGGACATGGCTCAGCTAGGGTACAAGGCGGGGATACTTGCTAATTGCAGCAATGGTCTGCCCATATCACTGGACCTTTAGACATTGCAGACCCAGCATCACCATCAGCTGAAGTGACCCCAGCATTGACGGGTTCAGAAGGGAAAGGTACCAGCGGCCAACACTGATGGCCTGAGTTCAATCCTAGGAACCCATGTGCTTGATTGAGAGAACAATTCCACCAAGCTGCCCTCTGACCCACATGCCCCCTTACACACCCAATAAAGCAAACAAAAATACAATTGACAAGAATGGCAATGACATTAGGAATACACCTGACTTTCTTCTTCGTGGTGGTATTTTCTAAGTGGTTTCTAAGAAAACAGTATTTCAATCTTTTCCATTCTTTAAATTTTGTTCTAAACAGACTTACAGATATTTAATTTTTGGCAAGGAAATCAGGATTTTTGAGAGCTAAACAAACCCAAAGTTTAAACTAACATCTCCAAATAATGTCTGTGCTTCTATAATACTTACCACAACTTCCATATCTGAAATATTTGGTGGGGCAAAAATGGTCTGCACCATGAACTTGTGTTTACTCTTCTCATTTGGGTCATAGTCGAACGGCTGCAGCATCACTAAACAAAAGGAAAGACACGTTATCTTTGACATTTTGTCTCCTATGATCTCAGTAACACATAAATTTAAAGAAAATACAGATGGGTTCAAACAATACATATATTATTCGTTCTCAAGGTGCACAATCAAGTTTATAACTTTCAATTCTTAAGGTCATTTTTGTGATGATTTTGACATAAACAACTGAAACACTGTTTTAATGTAACTCTTTCTCTAAGCCAGGCTTTAACAATTACTCAGAGTGATTTGTTTAGATCTAATTTGAAGAAAACAAAGGAAATCATAACTTCTTGATGATGATTTTATTCTCCAAATAACATTCACGTTTTATGCCTTTAGATCTGACTAACCTACAAAAGTTTCAAGGCTCTGAGTTCAATCAGCATGCTAAATCTATGTGACATCAATCCAAGATAGATAATAGACAACTAAATTAGTTATTACAATGTCTATGGCATCTTCGCAGCAGCTGGGTTCTACTTCTAAATATTCCCAATGGGCCTTATATAATTAGATATCTTAAAATTTTCAGAGTATTATCAAGAGACACTAGGATTTTATTTTAATACATGCATTTTCTCTGCCATGTCCCCCAAACTGATGGCCATGTCTGACATGACAAATAGAGAACCCACGTGTTTTCCTGCTCCCTTTGTAATTAACAAAAGCGGGAGTTGAGAACTATTGTTTTCTTAAAGGGCGGGCGGGCGGGCTACTGTTTTAAAGCGAAAGTCTCTGCAGGCCCAGGCTCGCTGCCGATCTTGCCATGATGCTGATGCTGGCGTGTGTCTCTTTAGGAGGGCTGCCTAGGGAAGGATGCACACTGACAGTACCCCACAGCAGGGACTCGGTGCAGAAGGAAGCACTAAGGGCGCTCACTACACAAGGGAGTTGGAGCGGTGTGGCGCCGAGGTAAGCCACTGTTGGCACTCACACTGAAAGGCATAAAGGGTCACCTGATTTTGTTAAGTAGGCCCAAAACAGGTGTATGTTTTTAAGTAAAAGGCTCAAAACACTTCTGTGGTTGCATGGAACATGACTTAATAGCAAAACAGTGCCATTTTCAAAAGAAACGCTAGTAAGAACACAGAACGTGGTGGTGAGCTACAGAAGTAAAAAAAAAAAAAAAAAGATGTGATGTTCCAAATCGACAATAATTAATTTATCATAGGCCTACACACAAAATCAGAGTGAAAGGGTCTCAATAAATGTTTGTAAGGGAAGATAACCGAAAAACACTAAGTCTAGGCCATGAGCTGTGGCTACCTGAAACAGTCACAATTGACCCTGGGTCAATAATTCCACTGTTGGGCCTCACACAGTACCGGCGCGGTGCTGTGGTCTTCACTTTGAAACACACTTTTCTGTCCGACGGATTTCGCAACTTAAGATTTGTAGTGACTACATCTGTGAAGGGGCCTGGAAGGGTTAAAAGAGAGAGAGAAGAGAATTAAAACTGGAGTCACATCAACAGCAGAATTCAAGATTAAATTAATATAATCTCCATCCCATCTTCTAAAGAAAATAAGAATTGTCTCTATCCATCTTTTGATAATTTCAACCATGATTTTTTTTAATTTTGATTACATTTATTTATCGTGTTTTTGTGTTGTGTGTATGAGCAGTACATGCCACAGTGGCTGCATGGAGATCAGAAGACGCTTTGGGATTCGTGCTCTCCTACCATTAGGTAAGTACCAGAAACCAAACGTGGGTCCTCAGGCTTGGCAAAAAGCATCTTCACCCAGGGCCACCTTGTTAGCCACAATTCTATTCTTACAGTGTGTTCATGCCACACAACTGACAGAATTCACCAACTCACTCCACATTCACAAGGCTAACGTAGACGGTCCTGTATCCAAAGGCACTAAAAGCTGATAGTACTTATGCTTCTCAGCCCATTCGCTGCTCACACACTTGTTCAGTACTTATAAACAGATGGAATAACATTTCTACAGTACAATTAATTAACCAAGATAAAAAGGGAAGGCCTCCAACCAGCCGCTTCCCTAGGAACAGACACATCTGCAAGGGACAGCGCTTGCAAGGAGCCCCCCCTCACTACTCTCAATGCCCTTACATCACGGCGGTAAGAGCATGCAGGGTGGCAGGAGGCGCTACAGCGGACCTTCTGGTCAACCTGCACAGCACTTTAATAATAACTATATGCATGTCAATCAACAAACTCCTAAGAATTGTATGTGTTCTGAAAAGAGTGCTTAATGTATTACCCAACAGGAATTAAATATTCTAACCATAAAAATGAAAAGATGAAATAAAACATCAAAAGGACAAAGAATCTCCGCAAACAAAATGCTTAGACACTTTAACCTTAGGAAAGAATGGCATAAACCCTGTAGAAAACACCTAAAGAGAGGGAGGGTAAACTGAGACTCTATTCCACTGTGTCCTGAGCAAGCTTCAGCCCACTGCCTCTTCTTACTAGGGAAGGTTAAAAACCACGACAGCCATGAGCACAGTAGCAAACCGTACTGTACAGTCAACTAAGACTGCTGCTAGGTTCAGAAGCTCCACATCTGTAAGCCAGAGACCTGACAATCCAATGACAGCTACAACTTACCCTAAGAGCATGCATGGGCATCTCTCTACAAACACCTCACACGGAACTCATGAAAGCTAAGACTTTTGTAGGAGCTGTTATCACCCTACTACCAGACAGATACACACTGGCACACTCTCTCTCCCCTCCCTCCCTCCCTCCCTCCCTCCCTCCCTCCCTCCCTCCCTCTCACACGCGCGCGCGCGCGCGCACACACACACACACACACACACACACACACACACACACACCCACCCCTTTACAAGTCTCAGAAAAAAAGAGGTTATATAAATTGAAGGTGCTATATGGTACAAACACAAACTTTGACCTAAAGACTCAAAATATTTTCCCTTGGCATTACAGCTGAATGGTTCAACAGGGAGAGTAGAGATATAGAATAGTAAACATTCTGCAATGCCAGGCAGTCCCACAGAATAATTTATAAACTTTCAAATGTTCATCCTGCTATAGAATTTTGGGTTTTGAAAATCCCCCAAAGACCTAATTCCCAGAGTGACAAACTGAAGAAGTGATAGAATCTTTCACTAAGCAGAGATATATCCTTTTGGAGGAAATATCCAATTCTTCCAGATTATTTTGCTTCCGGAATATTCTATGGGTGGTTTTACTCTGCCCCAATCTCCAACCACAATGTGCTACCTGGTCACAGTGCTATGTCCTAAACTTGACAGTCTATTGTTACTTCAAAACAAAACACAAACATGGGGGGAGGCCTCTTTTTGAGGATGACTTTGTTAAAACAGGGAAATTTTTTCAACACTAAAAAGTAAAGGTCACCATTACAACATTTATGTCATACTTAAGTTAGCAATGCAATTCATGTTATTAATTAGTTCGTGAACATTCACCAGCAACTCACTGACCTGACTCCACCCTAAGTGTATTCTACTTTGTCTTTCCATAATGGTAAGGAAAAACTCCTAACTTAGTCAGTGAGTCCTGTCTTGTTCCTCCTAACCCTGAACTTATTAAAATAGGTTTAAGCATATGTCTACTGTTGTGAAGAGACACCACTACCATGGCAACCCTCTGAAGGAAATAGTGAACTGGGGCTGGCTTATACTCCATTATCATGATGGCAGGAAGCCCGCTGGTGGACAGGCAGACAGGGTACTGGAGGTAGCTGAGAGCTCTACATCTGAATCCACAGGCAGCAGCAGGGGAAGGGAGTGACATGGGGCCTGGCTTCAGAATCTGCAACCTCAAGGCCCGCCCACAGTGACACATGCCCTCTAACAAGGCCACTCTTCCTATCAGCCTACAGGGCCACTTTCATTCAAATCACCACAGCATATGACTTCATTAAGCATACTACTGACCGTGTCTAAACATTTATATATTGAAATACATACTTCAGTAGAAAAATATCTTTTATTTCATTTTGTTATGGGGAGGGCACTGTATTAAATTGTGTATGTGGACAGATAATTTAGAGTTAATAAGGAGCACATTAATACAACTTATGCTTTAAATGAAGGGGATAGAGATGGTTCAGCAGTTATTAGTGCTCTTGCAAAAGACAGAAGTTCAGCTCCCAGCACCCATGTTGGGTGGGTCACACCCACCTGTGACACCAGCTCCAGGGGATTCGACACCCTCTTCTCGACTCTGCAAGCACCTTTCCCTCAAGCACATCCCCTACACAGACATACATACACGATGTCTTTTCTCATCCTGAATGCTGACTGCAATAGGTATATTTCCTTTTTAAAAGCTATTTTAACTGTACACATTTTTCATTGATGTAAAACTCACAAAGAAATTTTTAGAAAATCTGGTCATTATATAACCTTCAGGAAAATGATGAACAGTGAAAACACAGATTTTGCTAAGAACATAAGACTTCAAGCAATTTATGTTAAAAATGAAAGTTTATATTCAGAGTTTCTAAAGCTTAACTTCTCCATAAGTCTGCCATTTATCCCAAATGAACAGCTTCAAATGTAGGAACCAATTACTGACCTAGCCCACTCTAAGATCACCTATGGTAAAGAACACTCCATGCCAATCACAGTGGGCTATGGGACAGTACTCCTCCCTCAGAATGATAATCGGCTCACAGGAACAGCGCTCCTTTAAAAATAACAACACACTGTATGTGCATTAGTCACACACAGCTCTCCCAGGTGTATGTTTACTGTCGGAAACCGTTACCTTGTACCTGTATACTGTCCTTTAAGCACCTATCACATCCCCTAACTCCATCATCTGTCAGAGGCATTGAGCCAAAAAGCATCTAAGTCCAGGTAGGTGTAAGTGGGAAAAGATCTGAAACTGAGATTGCATTTCTTTTTTTAAACTTACTTTTAAGTAGTTCAGGCATAAATTCTAGCACATGGGAGGCAAAAGCAGGCAGATCTTTATGAGTTGAGGCCACCCTGGTCAAAGAAACTATCTCAGACAACAGAGGATCCATCCAGGGTTCAGTTCCTAGCACCCACCTGGTCGACAATCCAGTGACTGCCCTCTTTCGACTCCTGTTAACACCAGGCACACATATAGTGAATGTACATACATTATTAGCAAGTGTCACACACAGAAAACAAAATCTAAAGAAATAAGGAATTCTGACTATGGTTCTAAAAATAAAACTAAAAATAGAATCTAAGCTTTAAAAACTTCATCCATCCCTAATAATAAATCTTTCTTCAAGTGTCAAGCTGAGCTCAGCTGCAAAGAGAATCAACTTTGCTTCCTCCTCTATGACAGTTTACACAAGGAACCTGAAACACACCGTGAACACTCATACAAACACAGGTTGGATCCCATCAACTCTGTGCAGTTTCATGTTTCAGACATTTTCTAGGCAATCCTTTGGACACACTATGCTCTAAGAGTCTCTAGCACGTCTGCATTTGTTCCTAGCCTCTCAAGAAGCAGTCCTATGAGATAGCGCCGCCTCCTTCCTGAGGGTCAGATCAGGTATGCTCACTGGCCCACATTCTGCGACTAAGGTCAAGTACATTTCCATGCAGCACACCAAGATGAGCTCAGGGCTTCTCAGCTCCATGCAAAGCCACTCTAGGGATAAACTCCAATCTGAAGCCCTCTGTCACCCACCTTGGAACCTGGGGTGACTCAGGAAAAAAACCACAATTACAGAGAGCTCTTAGCAGTGCCAAGAGTAACACAGCAGTCCTTTCTATTCCAATTCAGCTGTTTGCAAGTCTTCTAACATCCATGAAATTGCAGCAAACTGAATTTCCAGTCTTTTCACAGTTGTTCACAAAGTCTCAGCTCTTCCCTACGATACAGACTGTTAGTGGCTTCTACATAAGAGCCAAGTTCAGTACCAAAGAATGCATCATTAAAAGAAACCATGGCTGACTGCACAGTTCATATGAAATACAATCCATTCGTAGTTACACTTTCCTAGTATGTGTATGCCTTCTCCCACCCATTCTATCACACCTAACCTCCTAGAGAAGCATTTAATTCATGCTGACTGAACTGAGTCTTTGTGTTTCTCACACATATCTGATGAATTACCATATACCAGAGACATGGCTGAGTAATCATTCTACTTTGCATTTTTACTCTGACTGTACTAATGAGGGCTGGATAGTCCCTATGTAAATACATAAATACAAGTGAGGAATTCTCCAGTATCTTTTCACAGGTTTTGCCCAATTGAGCTGTAAGTAACAGAGTTTCCTAAGCCAACTGTGGTGGGTCACACTAAATCTCAGCACTCAGGAGGAAGGAAGATCTGAGTGCAGGGCCAGCCTGTCGACACAGTGAGTTCCAGAACAACCAGGGCTATGTAAGGGACCCTATCTCCAAAAGCATGGAACTCTAACTAGGTCTGATTCCAGAGCCTCAACTACACTTACTTCCA